ATGACTAAAATGTATATGAAGCAGGGTGGAGTATATGTATATGGAGAGTAAAAGTGAGGTTAAGGGAGTGTAGAGGGAGTGTAAAGGGAATGTAGAGATAGTGTAGAGGGAGAGCAAATGAGAAAGTGGGTGAGGTTCTGTCAACAAATTTTGCTGAGAATAAGAAAAAGTTTTGGAGTGAGATTAATAGAGAACAAATGGATTTGTCAGTTAAAAATAGGAGAGGAGAGTTATTAAATGGAGAGTTAGAGGTATTGGGAAGATGGAGGGAATATTTTGAGGAATTGTTAACCCTTTCAGGGTCCGTCCCGTAGATCTACGGCTTTACGTTCAGGGTCCAAACCGTAGATCTACGCCATGAGCTCAGCTCACTCTGATAAACTGTGAGTGGTACAGTTGGGCCTAGATATGAGAGAATACATCTATGTGGTATGTGTGCACCACATAAAACAGATCCTGCAGCACACTGTGCATAATGAGAGAAAAAAAATGAAATCATGATTTTTCGATTAAAACAGCAACTTTGCAGTGTTTTTTTCGTATGTTTTTTATAGTTGTATTTGCGATTTCTTGGTCTCATTTGATAGAATGGAAGACATATTACAGAATAGAGATGATTTTGATTGGTTTTAGCATTGGAAATGGCTTGAAACTGAGCTCAAAGTAGCGGAAATGTTAAATTTTTGCCGATATTCAAGAGTAAACAAACAACCTCACACGTCTAATACACATCAGCTGGTGGGTCTAATATACATTCACAAATATGGTGATGATATTTATACAATTATTACAGTATTGCATAACAGTAAATCTTCTATTTTTTGGTGTGAATAAAAATTCATTATGTGAATAAAAAATCAAAATGGAATTTATTTGTAAAGCCTCAAAACATAACTAATGACAGAGGAAATGTTAGTTTAGTGCCAGGAATGCCTACATTGTTCATTCTGGACCCTATTTTGAAATTGGAATATTTGAACTTTGTGTTAAATTGGCCAAATTAACAATTTCCGATCACTTTATTTTTGTAGTTGAAACAGTTGACTTGGCGATTTCTTGTGCTCAATCGATAGAATAGAAGTAATACTAGTGAAATAGCTAAGAATTTGGTTGATTGGAATAATGTAATTGGCCTAAAATGGGAGTCAAAGTCGGCAAAATCGCCGATTCGTAAATATCGCTGACACATCAAAATTCGCGAGAGCATAATTTCGTCAATTTTCCACCAATTTTCGTACTTTTTGTTTTATTACCTTCACAAAAAGATTAATCTCTACGATTTCATAAGAAAAAATAACAAATTTTTTTTTTTAAATATCTTGGACACTGGTGCGTGACTCCAGATTTGGGCCTTGGACCCTGAAAGGGTTAAATGTTGATGAAGATAGGGAAGCTGTGATTTCGTGTATAGGGCAAGGAGGAATAACATCTTGTAGGAGTGAGGAAGAGCCAGTTGTGAGTGTGGGGGAAGTTCGTGAGGCAGTAGGTAAAATGAAAGGGGGTAAGGCCGCCGGGATTGATGGGATAAAGATAGAAATGTTAAAAGCAGGTGGGGATATAGTTTTGGAGTGGTTGGTGCAATTATTTAATAAATGTATGGAAGAGGGTAAGGTACCTAGGGATTGGCAGAGAGCATGCATAGTTCCTTTGTATAAAGGCAAAGGGGATAAAAGAGAGTGCAAAAATTATAGGGGGATAAGTCTGTTGAGTATACCTGGTAAAGTGTATGGTAGAGTTATTATTGAAAGAATTAAAAGTAAGACGGAGAATAGGATAGCAGAGAACAAGGGGCTTTGGGAAAGGTAGGGGGGTGTACCAGGTTTTACGTGAAACATATAAGTGAACGTATTTAGATAAGGCATTTGTGGCATTTAGGGTTTTGGGAAAAGCGTATGAAGGGTGGATAGGGGCAATGGGCAGATTTGCAGGTGATGGTGTGGGAGGTAGGTTTACTGAAAGCATGAAGAGTTTTACGGGGATAGCGGGCTCCAAGTTAGAGTCATAGGAAAGGGGGAAAAATTTTTTCCCCAAAAAAAAGGGGGCCTTAACAAGGATGGGTGATGTCCCCGTGGTTGTTAATATATTTAAGAGGGGGTTTGTAAGAAAGTAAATGCGGGGTCTTGAAAAGAGGCTGGGTTAAAGATAAAAATCACACATAAAGTGGGGTTTTCACATTTTGCTTTTTGCTGATGACACGGTGCCCGGGGAAAAATTTTGAAGAGAAGTTGCAGGTTTGGTGGATGAATTTGTGGGGTGTGCAAAAGAAAAAATTTAAAGTGAATACAGGAAAGGAAAGGGTTAGGGGATAACAAAAAATTAGGTATGAAAGAGGTTCAGATTGGAGGAGAGAGTATGGAGGAGGGGAAGTATTAGATATTTGGGGGGGGGGAAGTGTCAGCGGAGGGGTTTTTTGAAGATAGGGGAATCATAGAATTGAGAGGGGAAAAGGGTGATGGTGCACTTAGGAGTCGTGGGGACAAAGAAAATTTGTCCTTGGGGGCAAAAAGGGGAATGTATGAGAGTATAGTTTTACCAACACTCTTATATGGGTGTGAAGCATGGTGATGAATGTTGCAGCGAGGAGAAGGCTGGAGGCAGTGGAGATGTCATGTCTGAGGGCAATGTGTGGTGTGAATATAATGCAGAGAATTCGTAGTTTGGAAGTTAGGAGGAGGTGCGGGATTACCAAAACTGTTGTCAAGAGGCTGAGGAAGGGTTGTTGAGGTGGTTTGGACATGTAGAGAGAATGGAGCGAAACAGAATGACTTCAAGAGTGTATCAGTCTGTAGTGGAAGGAAGGGGGTAGGGGTCGGCCTAGGAAAGGTTGGAGGGAGGGGGTAAAGGAGGTTTTGTGTGCGAGGGGCTTGGACTTCCAGCAGGCGTGCGTGAGCATGTTTGATAGGAGTGAATGGAGACGAATGGTTTTTAATACTTGATGTGCTGTTGGAGTGTGAGCAAAGTAACATTTATTAAGGGGTTCAGGGAAACTGGCAGGCCGGACTTGAGTCCTGGAGATGGGAAGTACAGTGCCTGCACTCTGAAGGAGGGGTGTTAATGTTGCAGTTTAAAAACTGTAGTGTAAAGCACCCTTCTGGCAAGACAGTGATGGAGTGAATGATGGTGAAAGTTTTTCTTTTTCGGGCCACCCTGCCTTGGTGGGAATCGGCCAGTGTGATAAAAAAAAAAAATTAATAGGTTGAGAATGCCTTGGGAAGAAATGGATTTGACAGTTAAAAACAGAATAGCAGAGCTATTAGACGAAGAGCTGGAGGTATTTGGGAATATTTTGAGAAGCTGTTCATACGTTAGACTGCATGTGGCCAAGAGTAACAGTCTGGTTGATTATGCCCTGATGCACCAAGAGACCTGGTCATGAACTGGGCTGCAGGGGTATTAACCCTTAGAACACAGGCAATTACGTTTCTACACTTCCCAGCTTTTTTTTTTTTTGTTGTTGTTTGTTTTTTGTAGTTCCATAGTGCATTGATAAGAATTATAGCTCCCATTTTTCCTTGAAATTATTTGTGTTGATAGTTTTCAGAGTATCTACGTGCTACATGCATAACTGAAAGTTGTGTACTAAGTGATCTATCGTGTAACTTAGCCTTACTCTGTCATCAGTCTTTATGACCACTGTATCTTTGTGTTGCTGTGAGGGGTCAGGCTGCAATGATTGGCTCAGACATGCCACTCATAACAAAAAATTTATATTTTTGTTAATCTTTCTCAAAATAATTTGCTAAAAAATAAGAGGCTGGCTTGTAGCTAGGTTGGTTGCATCCTCAGCTCACATAATGAGGGGATCCTGGATTGATCCCCAGCATTAGTTGAAGCACTGGGCATGTTTCTTTACACTTCCTGCCCCTGTTTACCTACAATTACTGCTAGGTACCTGGGTTTTAGTCAAACATTGTGGATAGCATCCCGTAGCTCAATTGCTAGCGAACTCGACTCACACACTGTTGTCTGGGGGTCAATCCCCAGTATGGCTGGAAACACTAGGACGTGTTTCCTTATACCTGTTGTTCAGTGTTCGCCCATCAGTTAAATGGGCGTTAGTCAACTGGTGTGGGTTGCAGCCTGGGAGAAAATTGACCTAATTTGCCCACTGATGTCAGCTAGGTCTGTATACTATACCTTGTACATGTACTTGTAGAGATAAATATAATTATTACTATTATAACACAGAACTTTCTATATAGTATGCCAATGATGTCAGCTATGTCTATATCAACTATCATGTACTTGAAGAAATAAAGATCATTATTAACTGTTTATTCCATGGTGTAAACAACTTGTTACTATCAAAAATATCAATTATTAACAAAGCCTTTTCTACAGGAGCAACATTGAATAAAGTTTGCAGCCATTGCCTAGTCATGCTAAGTGTGATAGTGGCCCTTTCTGTAATTAGTTTTATATAATATGTAAACCACACAATACCCTATATGTAAACCCCACATTGTAATCTTTATAGAGAATAAACTTGATCTGATTTGATTGGTATGACAATACAGTCTACTGTTACAAAGTAACTTGCTCAGCTATCAAAACTTTGGAGTCCAGTCCCTGGACCAATTATGTACCTCTAATCTTTTGACTACCGCCCACAGGATGGGTATGGGGTGCATAATAAACATATTAAACTAAAACTAACTGTTACAAAGTGTAAGTTTATGTAGGAACAGGTACAGTGAGTAACTGACTTTTTTTTTTGGGGGGGGGGGGTTATTCTATGTAATTTACACAATATATGATAATTGTAGTTATGCCTAAATAAACTTACTAACCCAACGTGTCTACACACTGTATCACCATACTTGTTCTTCAGTCTAACATATACTACAAGTTTACCTGACATTGCTGCGGGCCGTTTATGTAGGGTTATCATACTAGGAGGTGAATGTGAGGGCACAGTGTGACAGCAGACTGACTCTCACGTGGCACAAGAGACATTACACAGCTCTTCTCTCCTTTATATAGCATTTCTGCCTTCAGCTGCTGCTCTTCATCTCTCCGATTTCTTCCTTCAACTCAGACTTCGCCTAAACAATAATCAACAAACTTTTATTTTCCATAACCTAGGAGGACAATATTTTAAACGAATTTATCAGACATTTAATAACATTGCCCGTCATTCCGTCGTGATAATTAAAGGAACCATAAATAATATGAAATTTTATATTAAAGCCTGGAAGAACAACAACTTAAGTCACGTGATTATCAGCTGAAGGTGGAATGTTGTTGATGGAGGTTGTTATGGACCACTTTAATGTACGCCTTATTAAACTCTCACAATTATAATGACAAGTTTATTTAGGCACACGTACACATCAGTACAATTATCATACACAGTGTAAATTACCTAGGATAACCCAAAAAAGTCTGACAGTGACTCATTTCCATTGTAGTTTATTTAGGTAGAGGTCCACATCAGTACAATTATCATACATAATATATATGTGTAAATTACGTAGAATAACCCAAAAAAGTCAAAGTGAGTTATGATAAAATATAAACTTTATTTCTGTAAAGTATGGTTTATAATTGGTTCGAGAAAAGTGATATTATTGACATACTTTATAGAAAGCTTCTGGTTACACAATATTTCGGGCAGAAATATTCTTCTTAAGACATCTGCATCACTTAAGTTACTTTTCAGAAACGTTTCGTCTACATTACAGGCTTTATCAGTCGTATACAGAAATTTTAAATATGGAGACAGCAGCAGTGGAGAGGCAAAGATGAACTGGTCAATCTATCAACCAATAAAAGATACAATGTCGGAACAGAGGAGGGTGACATCTGGTCGTACATCAAGACAGTCAATAGTCATGGTAATTTACACAATATATGATAATTATACTTATGTGTAATTGTACCTAAATAAACTTACCAAGAAATAGTGCATATCAATTGTAAAAAACAAGATGGTGAATTAGACATGTGCAACATCTGAGTATCTTTATTCCGTTTATAATTCTACTGTCTTCATATTATGTCCATGTATTGTATTGATAAAGCCATTGGATGGCGGACCGTCTACCAAATAAAGATACCCAGGGTATTACCTGGAGTTTACCTGGAGAGAGTTCCGGGGGTCAACGCCCCCGCGGCCCGGTCTGAGACCAGGCCTCCTGGTGGATCAGAGCCTGATCAACCAGGCTGTTGCTGCTGGCTGCACGCAAACCAACATACGAGCCACAGCCCGGCTGATCCGGAACTGACTTTAGGTGCTTGTCCAGTGCCAGCTTGAAGACTGCCAGGGGTCTGTTGGTAATCCCCCTTATGTGTGCTGGGAGGCAGTTGAACAGTCTCGGGCCCCTGACACTTATTGTATGGTCTCTTAACGTGCTAGTGACACCCCTGCTTTTCATTGGGGGGATGGTGCATCGTCTGCCAAGTCTTTTGCTTTCGTAGTGGGTGATTTTCGTGTACAAATTCGGTACTAGTCCCTCTAGGATTTTCCAGGTGTATATAATCATGTATCTCTCCCTCCTGCGTTCCAGGGAATACAGGTTTAGGAACCTCAAGCGCTCCCAATAATTGAGGTGTTTTATCTCCGTTATGCGCGCCGTGAAAGTTCTCTGTACATTTTCTAGGTCGGCAATTTCACCTGCCTTGAAAGGTGCTGTTAGTGTGCAGCAATATTCCAGCCTAGATAGAACAAGTGACCTGAAGAGTGTCATCATGGGCTTGGCCTCCCTAGTTTTGAAGGTTCTCATTATCCATCCTGTCATTTTTCTAGCAGATGCGATTGATACAATGTTATGGTCCTTGAAGGTGAGATCCTCCGACATGATCACTCCCAGGTCTTTGACGTTGGTGTTTCGCTCTATTTTGTGGCCAGAATTTGTATTGTACTCTGATGAAGATTTAATTTCCTCATGTTTACCATATCTGAGTAATTGAAATTTCTCATCGTTGAACTTCATATTGTTTTCTGCAGCCCACTGAAAGATTTGGTTGATGTCTGCCTGGAGCTTTGCAGTATCTGCAATGGAAGACACTGTCATGCAGATTCGGGTGTCATCTGCAAAGGAAGACACGGTGCTGTGGCTGACATCCTTGTCTATGTCGGATATAAGGATGAGGAACAAGATGGGAGCGAGTACTGTGCCTTGTGGAACAGAGCTTTTCACCGTAGCTGCCTCGGACTTTACTCTGTTGACGACTACTCTCTGTGTTCTGTTAGTGAGGAAATTATAGATCCATCGACCGACTTTTCCTGTTATTCCTTTAGCACGCATTTTGTGCGCTATTAACGCCATGGTCACACTTGTCGAAGGCTTTTGCAAAGTCTGTATATATTACATCTGCATTCTTTTTGTCTTCTAGTGCATTTAGGACCTTGTCGTAGTGGTCCAATAGTTGAGACAGACAGGAGCGACCTGTTCTAAACCCATGTTGCCCTGGGTTGTGTAACTGATGGGTTTCTAGATGCGTGGTGATCTTGCTTCTTAGGACCCTTTCAAAGATTTTTATGATATGGGATGTTAGTGCTATTGGTCCTGTAGTTCTTTGCTGTTGCTTTACTGCCCCCTTTGTGGAGTGGGGCTATGTCTGTTGTTTTTAGTAACTGTGGGACGACCTCCGTGTCCATGCTCCCTCTCCATAGGATGGAAAAGGCTCGTGATAGGGGCTTCTTGCAGTTCTTGATGAACACAGAGTTCCATGAGTCTGGCCCTGGGGCAGAGTGCATGGGCATGTCATTTATCGCCTGTTCGAAGTCATTTGGCGTCAGGATAACATCGGATAGGCTTGTGTTAATCAAATTTTGTGGCTCCTTCATAAAAAATTCATTTTGATCTTCGACTCTCAGTCTGGTTAGCGGCTTGCTAAAAACTGAGTCATATTGGGACTTGAGTAGCTCACTCATTTCCTTGTTGTCATCTGTGTAGGACCCATCTTGTTTAAGTAGGGGCCCAATACTGGACGTTGTTCTCGATTTTGATTTGGCATAGGAGAAGAAAATTTTTTTGGGTTTTTTTTCGATTTCTTTTAGGGGTTTTTTAGTTCTTCCCGCGATTCCTGACCCCTAAAGGATTTTTTTAGTTAAGTTCGATGCTTGCTATTTCTCTGACCAGTTTTCCCCCCTACGCATTTCAGATATATTGACCTTTTTTAGCCGCTTTTTCTTTTTTTTTCCGTCGCCTGTAAAGGGAGCCCCTTCTCTTTCTTTTTTTACATCTATCCCCCTTTTTTCTTAGAGGAATAAGCCTTGTGCATACATCGAGTGCTACCGATTTAATTGTTCTAGGCATAATTTGGGGGTCTGTTTGTTTAGTAATTTTCCCCCCAGCTTATATGGGTTTAGGTTTTGGTTTATTTGGTCCCACTTTAGTTTTTTTATTGAAGTTAAATTTGGGTAAATGCTCCCCTGGACTAATCTCTTTATGTGGGTCGGGGGCCCCGCGCAAATGACTGAACCTCAATTTGTTGGATCTGATTATATTGTTTTTGTATGGTGTATTTCTTATCGATCTCTTGTTAGTGAAGAGAGGTTAGTGTTTTCTCCGTCTATAGCCTATTATTTCTGGTTTAAATTTAAAATTTTGGCAGAGATTTAAAAGCTCGCGTGAGTGTGAGTTTCATCAGAGCTGCCTCCGGTGTTTTTACTGCAAAAATTTATTTGCTATATTCCCCTTTTGGGTCCCTTTAAATTTTGAAATCCCCCAGAGCAAATTTGGGTGCGGGAGCGGGAAAGGGGTTTTCCAGACAGTGGTCAATTTTAACACTGTTCCGGAATTGCTGGGATTTGCATCCGGGGGCTTGTAGACTACACAATACTGGGTTTTGGTTCTCGACCTTTACTGCTAAAACTTCCACTACATCTTTTGAGGCATTTAGCAGTTCTGTGCAAACAAGTGCTTGCAATGTACAGGCCAAACCCCCCCCCCTTTTGCCTGTTCACTCTGTCACACTGTATAGGTTGTAACCCGGGGATCCAATTTCGTTGTCCAAATGTTCCTTATGTGGGGCTCAGTGAAAACCGCGAACATTGCCTTTGCCTCTGCAAGCAGTCCACGGATAAAGGTATTTTTTGTTTTTCGGTTAGACCCTGTATATTTTTAAAGAAGAAGTTTCGGGCGGTGGGATTGTTGGGACGGGGGGGATTTTTTTTTTCCCGGGATAGAACTGTATCTGTTGGGGTTTGGGGTGGGGGCCATCGACTTGGTTCCACTCCGGAAGATGGATTTGGGGTACGATTTCGCCCCTTTTGCCAGTTTTTTTTCCCTTTCCCGGCACAAAAAACCTCTCCCTTTGAGTGGCGTGGTACCCAGGTTTTTCCCCCTTTTTGTGGATGCCTGCATGCCGAGGCCTCCAGATCTTTGTTTTTCTTCTTTCTCTTTGGAAACTCTACCCCCCCTCGCCTACAATGATCGTCCTTTTTCCACGCTAAAATTGGAGGGTCTCGGGAAAATTCTAAACCCAAAAGGGTTGTCCAAATTCTTCCCTAACCAGGCCCCAAAAGGTTTTTCAAATTCCCTTTCCAAAATTTTCCCTTGAGAAGTGTTTTGGGTGTAAAGGGAAATAAGGATGTTTCTGGAGTTTACCTGGGAGAGTTTTTCCGGGGGAAAAAGCCCCGCGGGCCCCGGTCTGTGACCAGGCCTCCCGTGGACAGAGCCTGATTTTAACCAGGTGTTACTGCTGGCTGCACGCAATCCAACGTACGGCTCCCCGGCTGGGCAGGACCCCACTTTTGGTGCTCGTGTCATTGTTCCGTCCTTCGTTTTAGCAATAGTTGCCATCCACTGTCTTTAGTTTGCTTCCGCTTTCCCAAACACCCCCTTCGGGGACCTTGCCTCAAAAAATCCCACATTTCCTAACGATTCTTTGAAGCAGCATCCTCACTGCAAAAACCTTTTTGTTCTAGGGCCAGGAATACGTAACGACTGCCTGAATGTCTTGGGGGCCCGGGTTATAATATGTTTACTGTGATTTCTCTGTTTTCGTTGAATTTATCGGTAATTTGGAAATTTTTGTGTCTGACTAAATC